ATGTATGCGGTGTTGGCGATATGAGTAACAAAAAAGAAAGACAAAACATTGCCTTTTCAGGAGATTGAAATCAAATTACATTATTTTATCTCCTTTTTTCGCTCTCTTTTTCTCTCTTGTTATATATTTCTCCTTCAACTTTTCCGTTTTTTTTTCATTTTATATAATATTTAACGTTTTATTTTCTAGTGGGAGTAACTTTTAGATTTTCAGAGTTTTCTCTTTTCTTTTCTCTTCACATGTGCAAAAATGATCTATCATTGGGTTATTTGTTATGTACTCCGTTGGCAGTATTCGACCAATAACGGTGGTCATTTCTCTTTATATGCTTCTTTGGCATGAGGTTGATTCCTTTCCATTTAGAAAGATCTTTATCATTCCTGACTCCAGTCCATTTTGTGTAGGCCCATTTGGTCGCACAAGTGTTTTTTTTAACTGGGAGTTTGGGTGAGTTGAGATGATTTCATAGATGGTCCGATCTCATTGAGTTTCGTTGCTCCAACTAACTTTTCGCCTTTTTCTCGCGCGCAAATTGGAATATCGAGTCAGGTGTCTGTACGTGCATAGTTATTTTTAGCATCCACGCGACATGGTTGCTATGGGTCAATCCTTTTAAACTCCACGGGCTTTCGCCTGACTGCTTTTAGCCTACCATACACACACACACACAAAGAGAGAGAGAGAGAGAGAGAGAGAGAGAGAGAGAGAGAGAGAGAGAGTGTGTGTGTGTGTGTGTGTGTGTGTAGTTGCAACATACAGAGAGAGAAAAGTTCACTATGCAAATTAACCCAGGGAGGTTAAGTTGCATTAGTGAGTTATAATTCAGAGATGTCGGCGTAGGATCGACACACTATCTATCTATCTATCTATCTATCTATCTATCTATCTATCTATCTATCTCATTTCAGTCATTTCTATCTATCTATCTATCTATCTATCTATCTATCTCAGTCATTTCATAACTATCTATCTATCTCAGTTATTTCATATATATATATATATATATATATATATATATATATATATATCCCTCACAGTCATTTTATATCTATCTATCTATCTATCTATCTATCTATCTATCTATCTATCTATCTAGACACGCAGTTTTGTATTGAGCTAGAGTAAGAATGAAAAAGACGCACTACGAAAAAATTTTGTTGATTTGAAATAGATGTTCTTTAATGTGGATTCACCCGGGCGATGCTGATATATATATATATATATATATATATTTATATATAATATTTTACATCGTGACACGGAAATTTCTACGTTTCGAAACTTTAAAATAGTTCCTACATGTTGGACTCTCCCGTCGTATTCGACGTACGAGGGTTAAGCAACTCAGTTCCTAGGAACCGACAGCCCAGACATCAGCACACATGATTTGATTATAGTGGTGATGGCTTTGTGCAGAACCAGCCACACTTTTTGAAATGCCTACATATTTACAGTTAGTTCATTTTGCTAATTTAATAGATCATTATTCCAGGAAACTTAATAATATGCAGCTTTTCATGTGTCATTTAAAGTCTTACAAATTCTCGTTTTTTTTCTTTAATATTTTCCCTTTTACTCTGGGCCTTTATTGATTTCTTTTAAATACTGAAAATATTTAGAGAAGGATCTTCGGTTACGGTACCCATTGTTGTTAAAAGAAGAAATATGTTGATACCATCTTCGTTTAAAAGTGATTTTTGGGCTTCCAATATAAAATTTCTCATCATCTGGGTTTTCAGTAGATGAAAAGGTGCACTGGTAAACAATAGATTCAATAAGACATTTATTTTGCAATGGACAATTTATGGGATTTCTACAATTAAATAATTTATTATCAATATTATTGTTTTTCAAAGGATTTGAGGACATATTTTTTAGGTTTTTTGTCCTTATTTTGGCATGAGAAACGCACCCCCAAAGTTTGTCAGAGTATTTTTTTGATACACCTGATATATATATATATATATATATATATATATATATATATATATATATGTGTGTGTGTGTGTGTGTGTGTGTGTGTGTGTGTGTGTGTTATGGTCCAGGTTAGGGCCAAGGAAGAACAACACGAACACAAGAGTAGAAATAACGAAGGTATATTACACGAAATAATAATACAAGATGTGGAAGGTGTTAGTATGACTGTCAGTCTGGTTTGGAGTGAACTACTATCGGCTCGGCTCGATTCGATCCTCTCTTGAGAGGCGTAGTATACATAGTGTTAGGAAGAGTTCATTCGGTAGTTATAGGTAAGGACCCATGACAATATGTATTGTTTTTTAAACACACACACACACACACACACATATATATATATATATATATATATATATATATATATATATATAGAGAGAGAGAGAGAGAGAGAGAGAGAAAGAGAGAGAGAGAGAGAGGGCAGGGTGTATCAAAGAAAAAACTATCGGTTGCGATGGATAAATTCTAGTCTAAATTACGTAAAAATGAAAGTAACACAGACAGGCCATTTTAACAGATATACTTACCAAAGTCACCCAAAATCATTTTGAAATATTAAAGAGTAAATTTATTCAATAAAATCGCCGCAGGCTTCAAGCCACAGGAATTCTAGCATCTCTTCTAAGCGGTCTTCTTTAATTTGGTGAATGCTGCTATAATACTTGCTTTCATTTCATCATTGGCGTTACAAGGAGTTTTGTTAGCCTCTCGCCCCGCTGCAATCCACCCGTAATAATCACGGGGTGGGAAGTTAGGTGGCAAGATGTAAGAAGTGACATAGTCACAGAAATTGTCTGACATTAATGGCTGGGTTCTACGGCAATGTAGGCGATGTGGGAAGAGGAATGGAGGCATCACTAGTGATCACTCCAAACACCTTCGTAATCACCATTAGAATCATCCAACTCTTCCCGAATCCTCTGTATTGTACTCAGATTGACACTCAAACACTCTGAAATGTTCGTATTGGAGTTTCCGGCACGAATGCCAAGCAGTACAAGCAGGGAAGCAAGAAGGGGTTTCCACTGGCGTGAAATCCGAGAAAAGAAACTAATCGAATAGAACATACGCTTGTGTCTAGATAGTTCAAGAGTAAAATGGTGAATCCTAGTTGCCAACGTAGTAGCATGTTTAAATTCATGCAATCGTTACACTACGGAGAAAATCTCATCAGAGCGGTTACTGTGAAAATATTTGTAGAAAAGACAGAGAAAAATCACGTTATGTCGGTGAGAAAGTAACTGAAGTCGAGATGCCAGGTCAGGATCAATTAAATTGCAGACCCTTCTTTGAATTTTGTCAAGAATCTCATGATATACAACATGAAAACAATTCATGCAAGATACTAAAGAAAAAAGATCATTAAAAAAGTTACTATGAAAGTATTTGATCTCAGACAAAGCCGTGTAAACCCTGTCAAGGCTAGTAAATTAGGATGTGCCGGTGCTGCTTAGATATAACATCAAAAATCTCATTTTGGTCTGATTTGACTCTTGGAGGGATAGAGCATGGCGGAATAATTAGATATTTACTGGAGCAGTAAAAGAAACCACCCTTTTTTTCCATTATGGACATACACCAGTGCCCGAGGTATCTTTGTTGAGTATACGAAGCAGATAAAACATATCATTTTCAAATTTCTGGTGGAGTGAATTGCGCCATGGTGCTCCTTTTCTCACAGACGGTGCCCAACTGACCCTACTATACTGTGGAGTCGACAAAATCAAAAAATAAATAAATGAACAAAAATAAAAATAAACCACGCGCATGCGCGAAATTAAAAATATAAAATGCGACAAATTACCCATCGTACCCTGTATACATATGTATGTGTGTGTGTGTGTAATTAATAATTATTATACTATAAAGTGGTTGAACAATCGACTAATACACTAATTATTACGTAAGATTATTGTTACTAACGACTGGCGAGTACTGACGAAAAAGTTCTTTACAGCAATATCGGGGTCTTCGTCAGTCTTACGCATAAATATGTTCACAAACATATTTTATTTTATGCATAATATTATAGCTATAGTCATTATAATTATTGATTTGTTATACAATAGTCGGACAAAAGTTGTTTTTTTTAATTTTAATAGAAGCACAGAAAACAGATCAAAATGAACATAAAATCTATCTGTCAGTTCATATCTATCTATCTATCTATCTATCTATCTATCTATCTATCTATTTCTGCTCGTTTCTATCTATCTATCTATCTATCTATCTATCTATCTATCTATCTGTCACAGTCTTTCCGCGTCTATGTTCATATATCTCTCTCTTTATCTATCTATCTATCTATCTATCTATCTATCTATCTATCTACGTCTCTTCATGCTTTTTCTCTTTATCTCATCACCTAGAAGGTTATATTTGATTTAATCTATCTATCTATCTATCTATCTATCTATCTATCTATCTATCTATCTATCTATCACAGTCTTCTCGCATCTATCTATCTATCTATCTATCTATCTATCTATCTATCTCCTCCTGTTCCTCCTATATCTATCATCTATCTCTATCTATCTATCTATCTATCTATCTATCTGGCAAAAAGTTTCTTTTTAAACAGTTAACTGAAAATCCTTTTGTTTTCTTTTTCCATTCATCACTTCCTTCGTCTTGCTACGCTTCTTCCATTCCCTTCCTTTCATGTCTGTTCCACCTTCAAGTATCTTTCTTTCTTTGCAAATTAACTCTCGATTCAAGACAAATTTTGCATTGCCTTTTTCCCCCCTCCTCGTGTCGATACTTCTCAGGAGATTTTTTCACCTCTCCTATTTTCTCGCATTCTCCTTCCATAATAGACACGAATTACACATTCCGCATTTAAATCTCATTCTCAATGCTTTACTTTTCGTTTTTACCCACATCAATGCTTCTGATCTCAATTGCGGCTGACGAGTAAAATATTGCCGGGAAAAAGGAGTAAATTCTAACTGAAAGATAGTTCGAAATTTATTATCACAAGCCATTGTTAGAAAGTTTCATTGCCAGAAATATGGCATTTGTTTAGATCAGATCAGATTAGATAGATAGATGGATAGATAGATATGAATAGGCAGAGATAGATAGATAGATAGATAGATAGATAGATACTGACATACATACATACATACATACATACATACATACATACATACATACATATATAAATTATACTAAGATAGATATGAATAGGCTGAGATAGACAGATAGATAGATATGAATAAGCAGAGATAGATAGATAGATAGATAGATAGATAGATAGATAGATAGAATAGGCATAGATAGATATGAATAGGCAGAGATAGATAGATAGATAGATAGATAGATAGATAGATAGATAAAAAAAATATTATCAGCAATAAAAATCTTGTCAGCGTTAAATAACCCATTGAGGATGATATGCCGTAAAATAAACAAATATAAACCAAATTTATGGTGAGTACTATTAAGATTGTTATGTTACCGTTATTCTTACCGTTGCTATGGCTTCAAGTTTGTATTTTACCTCAACTCTTGGCAAAGTAATCTAACTGTAATTTTGCGATTTTAAATATATACTCCCGTTGGGGATTCCTGTATATGGACATATCTACGATTGCAGTTTCTCACGCGATCGCAAATTCTAGGTCGCTTGACCATCACACCGAAAATCGACTTCAGATGTGGAAAGGTGATTTTATTTGGTTCAGCACTGTAGATATTGGACTAAGTTACGACAAGGTTAAATCTCATTCAACGAAAAGGAATAGTAAATGAAAAAATAAAAAAAGAAAATAAAAAAAAATAAAAAAAAAGACAATAAACCAAGACTGAAAATTCATTCTGAGACATGAATGAAAAGTTCTCGGTCTAACTTGGCGGGAATGTATTTCTTCCCCTGCTAAATCTCATCAAAGGTCCCTGTCATATGTTCGTCACATAGCGACGTTGACTTCGACAACAAGCGAGAGACTGTCAGGCGAGTTAACATTATTAAAAGCATTAAGCAGAAGAAGCTAGTACAATTTTAGACTCCCTGTTCTGTTTCCCATTGCTATTGCGCCTACATTGGATTGCTGATTTGATTTTGTGTGAGTAGCCTAGGATTATCTGGTCTGAAAATGGAATAAGTGAGAAAAGACCGTAAAACCAGCAAAGAAGAGCCAAAAAAAAAAAAAAAAATTAAAGAATATATATAATCGAAGGTTGGATGAGAATAGAAGGCGGGAAAATTTCAGAAAAAAAGTGTGGGAAATGATGTCAACTAATGGAAGGAATAAGTTAAAATGTCGGAAAAAGGTTTCAGTTAACTTTAAAAAGTGAAGGAATTAGAATTAAAAGAAAGAAAGAAACAAAGAAGAAAATAATGAAACAAAGAAAGAATAAAAGAGACAAAGAAAGAAGACAGGAAACAAAAGAGAAAAGAAACTAAGAAGTGAAGAAAAAGAGAAAAGAAAGAAAAAAAGAATGACAAAGGACAGTAAAAAGAAAAAAGAAAGATGGAAGAAAAAAGAAAAAGAAACAAAAGAATAAGTAAAGAAAGAATTAAATGAGGGAAAATGTAGGGGGGAAGAAAAAAGAAAGAAGGAAAGAAAGAAACAGAGTAAAGAATGACAAAAGAATGAGAAGAAAAGAAAAATATGAGAAAGAAACAAACAGATAAATAAAGAAATAACTTATAAAATGAAAGTAGAACCAAAAAAAAAAAAAAGAAAAAAGAAAGAGAAAAAAAAATGAAAATTCCTAGAAAAATTAGAAAGAATGAAGGAATGAAAAAAGGAAGAAGAAAGGAAAGAAAAAAAAGATCCATTAACGAATATAAGAAAGAAACTAAGACCGGAGGAAAGAAAGAAAAAAAATCAAGAGGATAGGAAATATAGTAGAATGAAACTAAGCAAGGAATTAAATGAAAGAAACAAAGAGAAAAAAAAGAATGAAAAAAAAAGAAAACGAAGAAAGAAGAAAAAATAAGAAAAAAGACAGAAATATGGAAAGAAAGAATTATAGAAAGAAAAAAAAAAAAAACAAAGAAGAAGATAAGAAAAGAAACAAAAAAAAGGAAAAAGGAAATAAATAAAGACAAAAGAATGAATGAAAAGCAGAAAAAGGAACGATGTAAAAAAATAAAGTAAGAAGGTAAGAAGGAAGTAAAGAAAAAGGGGGAAAGAATTTGAGAAAGAAACAAAGATAGAAGGGCAAAATTTAGAAAACAAACAAGAAAAGAAAGAAAGAAAAAATTAAAAAAAGAAACGAAATTAAGAGAAAAGAATGAAAAAGGAAATAAAAAGAATAAAGAAAGACAATGAAAGAAGAAAAGAAAAGTAAGAAACGAAAGAAAGAAGCAAAGAAAAAAGAAAGAAACTAACAAAGACAGAAAGAGGAACTGAAGGAAGAAAAATAAGAAGGAAATAAAGGAAGAAAAGAGACTGATAAAAAAAAACAATAGTAAAGAAGGGAAGAAGCAAGAAGACAAGAAAAAAAGAAAAAGAGAGAAAAAAGATAAGAAAGAAAAGAGAAGAAAGAAAAAAGAAAGAAAAAAGCAAAGGAAAAAGGAACACAAATTGTAAAAATGAATCAAAGCTGGAAAGAAATAAAGAAAAGGAAAAGAATCAAAAAGGAAACAAAAAGTCAAAAAAGAAACAAAAAAAAAACAAAGGAAAAGAAAGAAAAAAGAAAGAACATAAAAAAGAAACAAAACTAAAAGAAAAAAGAAAGAAAAAAGAAAGAAAAAAGAAGAAAAAGCAAAGGAAAAAGGAATACAAATTGTAAAAATGAATCAACGCTGGAAAGAAATAAAGAAAAGGAAAAGAAACAAAAAATAAAAATAAAACTAAAAATGTAAAAAAAAAACAAAAATAAAAAAAAAGAAACAAAAAAGAAACAAAAAAAAAAAAAAGAAAAAAACAAAAAGAAAGAACAAAAAAGAAACAAAAAAAAGGAAAAAAGAAACAAAAAGAAGATAAAGCAAAGGAAAAGGAATACAAATAGTAAAAATGAAAAAAAAGAAAGAAATAAAAAAAAGAAACAAAAAGGAAAAGAAAAAGTCAAAAAAAACAAAAAAAAAAAAAAGGAAAAGAAAAAAAAAAAGAAATATAAAAAAAAAAACAAAACTAAAAGAAAAAAAAAAAGAAAAAGGAATACAAATTGTAAAAATGAATCAAAGCTGGAAAGAAATAAAGAAAAGGAAAAGAAACAAAAAATAAAAATAAAACTAAAAATGTAAAAAAAGTAAAAAAAAGAAACAAAAAGGAAACAAAAAAGAAAAAAAGGAAAAGAAACAAAAAAGAAAGAACATAAAAAGAAACACAACTAAAAGGAAAAAAGAAACAAAAAAAAGAAACAAAAAAGAAAGAAAAAAGAAGAAAAAGCAAAGGAAAAGGAATAGAAATTGTAAAAATGAATCAAAGCTGGAAAGAAATAAAGAAAAGGAAAAGAAACAAAAAAAAGGAAACAAAAAATAAAAAATAAAACTAAAAATGTAAAAAAAGTAAAAAAAGAAACAAAAAAGGAGACAAAAAAGAAAAAAAGGAAAAGAAACAAAAAAGAAAGAACATAAAAAAGAACCAAAACTAAAAGGAAAAAAGAAACAAAAAAAGAAATAAATGAACTAAATAAAAAGTAATATGAACAAGTGTGTTTATCACACCAACAACAAACGCAGACCAGACACAGTTATTTTTTATATCAATAACTTTCCTAAAACCCATTCTTAAAGAATGTACGATCCAGATACCTGTGGAGGATGAAACCCAGGTCTTTAATTCTAAAACACAAAACACCTCTCGATACACTCAAAAATAATACATACCAAAAACAATAATAGAATTAAATTAGCATACACCCATCCACACACACGCACACATACATAACTTTCCCGAGACACATGATATTTTTCGTCAACCATAGAATTTACCTGAACAGTAATTACGTCCATCTAACCAACAATCAACACACGTACGGACAGCATCATCTCTCGCACGACCAACTGGAAATAGAAGACACACATACAGACACATATCTTGTCTTTATTTCATTATCATATACGGGGACACACTGCTTGACAGATACGAAAATGTCCACTAGAAACCAGAGGCAACAAAACCCCGCCCCCACACAAATACACCAGAAGACAAAGACACGTGGGATCTCCCCTGATCGATAAAGACAAACAACGCAAAACCTCAATGTACCGGGACTCTTTCTTCCACAGTTCATTTTAAAAAATTTCTAATAAAGCTGAAAGAAATTAAAATGTATAAAAGTTTTATATCTATTCCTTAATGCACACACACACACACACACACACACACACACATATATATATATATATATATATATATATATATATATATATATATATAAAAACCTCAATGTACCGGGACTTTCTCTTCCAGTTCATTAAAAATATTCTGAAGGTTAAATGAATTAAATATAAAAGTTGCATTTTTATTCCTTAAAGCATCATATATATATATATATATATATATATATATATATATATATATATATATATATATATATATATTTAAGAACAATAACACGCTCCAAAACAATAACACATTTCTCATAGCATTTTTCGGATTACAATACATCTATTTTTGTTGTCCTCTTATTACTGAGAGTAAAAACAAGGACAAAATCTATTTCCATAACTGAGGATGTCTGTAGGAACAGACGAAAGCTTGCAAAAATAATAAGAACTTATGCAACTGAAATTTATAAAACAAGGATCTTTTCATGCATAAACTGGTTCGGGGTTTTTTTGTATATTATTTGAATTGTTCGCGAAGATGGATTTCTCGCCAATTAAATCATTAACCTTTGTATTTGTTTTTTGTATGAATAATTCATGAATTTAACTATATATATATATATATATATATATATATATATATATATGTCTGATCAAATGAATTACAAACATTATGTGTGCTTATTCTTAGCATAATCCGTTCATATTCACGGATATGTTTTCCGTCTATTACAATCAAATGATGCAAGAAATGCACTGTAACAGTCAAAATCACTTTTATTATCCAAATACGTTCCGTCTCTTTCTACACAATGTTTTTGCCTTACCAGTTGCACTCCTGATGATAATCTCAGAAAAAGATGGAAAGTAATTGCGAAATAAAAGTAATTATCACTGTTACAGTGCATTTCTTGCAACATTGATTGTAATACACGGGAAAATAATCGTGGATATGAACGGATTATGGTAAAAATAAGCAAACATGTTTGTAATCTATTTAATCAGATATATTTAAAAGGAAATTTGCTGCCTAAATACACACACACACACACACACACACACACACACATATATATATATATATATATATATCATAATATATTTCCGTATATTTAAAACTAAATGCATGTCTGTC